ATACAGTATTACCTCTATCACGATTAGGTTGTAAATATAATACAAAAGCCCCCCGAATTCCCTGAATTGCATTTTCATTATCTTGGGAAAATTACGAGTTTGGATACTTGGTATAGGAAAATCAAGTAAACCTGAATGGAATTATGCAGGAACTGGTTATAAAGCTGCTTTTATATATATGTATCAAAAACAACGATGTATTTTTTTTGAAGAATTCGATGATGACGAATGCAAACTCACAATTTATAATAAGCAAATGGAGGTTTCAAAAATTTTTACCGACATTGATCCTGATTTATTATGGAAACAAATTAATTGTTTACAACAATATAATGGAAAAAAACTTTTTGGATTAGAAGAGCCGAATACGCAGAACTTAATACGATCTATCAAAATACCCACCTGTTCATTAGACAAATGGAACAATAATCAAATAATGGAATGTGTTTACAATTACCATCTAAAACATAGACTATCAACTCATGTAAATTGGCTTGAATGGTTCAATCAATGGCAAGAAGAAACTTCAACAATTATAGAATTACAAACCAGTTTATATACACTATATCCATTTAATCACATTATAAATGATCGAGAACTACGTGCATGAAAAGCTATGTTAAAAGCTGTAGGATGTACTGAAATAACGCCATTTAACAAAGATCAATCAGAAGTAAGTAAATAAAGATTTAATAATCAGCCAATTACTTAACTTTTAATTACTAATTAAATATTCATTTCGATATTTTAGTTTACATTTTGGTCAAGATCGCATAATCCTGAAATTGACAAAGCTAATTTAGAATTATTATATAAGCAGGGTTTTTTAAATCCAATACCATCTAATTTTAAAAATCATACCTCAACTTTCTGGGAATGTTTTCGTCAAACGTTAGACAAAAACAAGCGTGGTTTTAATGGAAAAACACGAATACTATCCATCATTGCTGATAATTTTACCTATAATGATATTAATACTAATCTAAATGTAAATAATTATTTATCAAATTCATACAAATGACTGATGAAAGTTACTTGCCAAAATTATAGAAATTCAATATATTGGAATGTTAAAACTAGTTTTAGCATTTTAACACGCTGAACTTTATAATTTTGGCAAAATTCAAGATCTGCTTTTAATTAATTCGATACTTAAATAATACCTTAATCACCAATTACATAAATTGGTTTGAGAATGTTCTTAGCATAATAACTAATTGCTAATTATTATATGAAAATATACTTGCTAATAGGTATCCAACGATGCAATTAGTTATGCGTGTAAGCATGCACGACTTCATGGCCCTGGATGTGTAGTATTAAATAAACCAATTATTACACGTCAAAAAATTTCAGCTGAAAAACAACAGGCTTTGGATGCGTTTTTAATGGATAAAGCACATGTTGTTATGAGTTCGTATAAAACCGATACTGCAACAAATGAACCTGTACATTATCTAAAACATACTAAAAAAGCTCTATGGGAAAAATTTCATAAACAATACCCTGATGGAATTAAGCGGGCAAGTTTTTTCAAGAAACTAGAAGGTAATAAATATACTTATCGTGAGGATTTAGGAGGATTATGTTATACTTGTCAACAGTACGGATATGAAATCTTTTCTGATCTTACTGAGTTTATCGATAAATATGTAATGCAGTCTTTAGAAAAGGTATTATCTAATTTCAATTTTTTAGGTATAATTATTATTAATACTTACATGATTTGTTTTTTGGAGTATTAGAAGCAGTTAATAATTGCGACGAATAATCTAAAGAGATTTTTAAAACGTGATTATGAGGGTCATTTTAATATCACAGCAAATGGAACTACTTTTCACAATATATGTATCAATCATTGTTTGCTTTATGCATTTGGTCAATGTACTGAATGTCATACTCAAATATGTAATCAATGTCAAGAGTTTTTCAACTATTTTCAGAAGATTAAGGATAGCACGGCTGTTATACATCACGAAGAGCTTAATGATTTGAAAGAATATTTGATATATTATCTTGCTCATCAAACAAGGAAGGTCTATTTGAATGCACAATTTAATGCTAATTTATTAGATCTAGATGATGATACGGCATTGGTTTTAGTTGATTATAAAATGAAAATCTTACCTAAGACTGCACGTGAAACTAAAAATGACTGGTTTGGGAAGAAAGGATGGTCCTTACATTCTGTTTTAGTATATAGACGGCAATTAGATTCAAACAATTTTCAAATTCAAGCATTTGATCACTGGGCTACAGACACTAGACAAGATTCTTGGTTTACTGCCTCTTCGCTACATGCTGTAATCGAAAATCTTGATCAAAAACCAAAATCAATTATTATAATGTCTGATAATGGTGGACATTATCACAATGCAAATCTAATGATGATATTAAGTTTCTGGTATGAATGGTATAATATAAAAGTAAAAAAATGGGTATTCTTTGAGGCGGGTGAGGCAAAAACTACGATCGATTCTCACCATGCACAAGTTCGTTAAAAGTTTTTGTTTTTTATTTCACAATATAAAAATCTTGATGCTACCCGGAGTGGTAAATAATTTATTACCACTCTCTTTAATAAAATAGCAATTTGGTAACGAATATTAGAGTTAGGGATGCCAGAGTTAGGATCAGATAGTCAATTTAGTATTTAATTAGACAGGATGGCTTACCACTCTAGGTAGCACCAAGACGACTCCTTCATAATAAACTAATATTTGAAAAATTTAGATCTCACATGCTATTAAGAAATATGTTCGACTCGGATTTGATATAGAAACTGGCCAAGATATTGAAAATGCAATTCAGGGAATTCGGGGGGCTTTTGTATTATATTTACAACCTAATCGTGATAGAGGTAATACTGTAT